GAGACCAGGTGGTTTTTTTCCACTCATCACCATCGCTGTTAATCTGACTCCATGCCTGCCCATCTCACAGCTGATGTGAAAAACATGGTGAAACAAATTAATGCTGTGCTCGCTGTGAACCGGACGCAGCAGGTGCAGCAGAAGCAGCGAGTTTACATGCAAAGTCAACGGTTGACGCGCGTATAGGCGCAGCAAAAGGTCCCGCAGCGCCTTTTGAGCAGCAGGCGCAGCGCATCGGGAGCGTTAGCATCTGAGGCGCCGCCGCTGCTCGAGATGGAAAAATTTTAGTTTTGCTGCTGGACGTGCCGCATCAACCAATCAGAGAAGCTGATCTGGGAGCTGACGGCGAGACAGACACATCACTCTGATGACATATGATATTAAGGCAAATGAAAAGGGCTGGATGGATGAGGAGACGATGAAAGCGTGGCTGAGGCAGGTGTATGTGAGGAGACCAGGTGGTTTTTTCCACGCATCACCATCACTTTTAATATGTGACTCCATGCGTGCCCATCTCACAGCCGATGTGAAAAACATGGTGAAACAAATAAACGCTGTGCTCGCCGTTGTCCCGGGGGGTCTGACAAAGGAACTTCCACCGTTCGACATCGGTGTGAACCGGCCGTTCAAAGTAAGGCTGCGAGCGGCGTGGGAGCGATGGATGAAAGACTGAGACCACAGTTTAAGGAAAAGTGGAAGGCAGCGCCGGGCAAGTTACGCCACAGTTTGCGGATGGATTGTTGATGCTTGGACTAACGTGTCTGCTGGCTCTGTTGTTCAAGCTTTTGCAAAAGCCGGCATTATTTCTGAGGAGCCGCGCTGCACGGAAAGTGACTCTGACAGCGAAGAAGGGGAAATTGGCATGTCTGATTTAGCGCAGCTGTTTAATTCAGAAGCAGAGGATGATGACTTTGATGGGTTCGATTAATACTTTGTAATAAATACATGAATAAAGCACAATCATACTCAGTTTTGCTCCCGCTCTATTTTTCTACCTGAAAACTTAACTCAACAGCAGCCTCTGGGCGGGTCTCCTCCTCTTCACCGCGGTGGCTGGCAGGTGTTTTTTCATCTAAATAATCTAAATCTTGCAGCTATATTTGCTGTGATCAGTGGGAATAAAGTAGTTTTAATATGTTTTTAAGTGAGAAAGTCCACCTGAAAACTTAATAATTGCAGTCAGTTCATCCAGATTATCTATTTCTGTCGGAGGCGCTCAGACCCCCACATACCAGCGGTGCACCGACAGTAGAAATCCCCTCATCAGCAGCCTCTAGGCTGGGCAGCCTCCGGGTTCACCGCGGCGGCTGGCATATGTTTTTCATCTAAATAATTTTAGCTGCAGGCACCAGGATACCGGTAATAAAAGCAAACATATTCCGTCGGCAGGTTTCAGGATTTTACGTTAATTTAGGAGTCATCACAGCACTGTGTCATCTGCGATGTGTCTGTCTCACGGCCAGCTCCCAGGTTTGATTAATACTTTGTAATAAATACATGAATAAAGCACAGTCATACTCAGTTTTGCCCCCGCTGTATTTTTAAATACGGAGTAGAGGTATTTAAAGGTAGTAGAGGACATGTACCTGTATATAAAAAACGCGCCCTATAGTCCGGTGCGCCTTATGTATGTGTTAAATACAGAAATGGCACACATAACTAAGACTGCGCCTTTTAGTATGGTGCGCCTTATGGTCGTGAAAATACGGTATATATGCTCTCCCTCTGCTCTCACTCTTTGTTGGTTCCTTGTCTTTGCTGTCCTCCCATGCTGTTGTCCACCTACCTCGTCTCTCCCTGGCTCCTCGTGTTTGGTTTCCCCAGATGTCTCCATAGTTCTGGTTTGCTTTTCATTATTAGTTGGATTTTTGGATTCCTGCCTTTGTTTACTGTTTTTGCTCCATTAAACTGCAAGAAATCTCCTCAGCCTCTCCGCCTCTGCATTTGGGTCCTCAAACCACAACTAAACCCTGACACTAAAATAAACTGGACCTGCATGAAGTACCCTTGTCCGTACTCCTTGGCGATCTGAATACCAAATGACCTTCAACCACTTTCAATATTTTTTATTATTGGTTTGAAAAAGATAAAGAACCAGCGAGAACCATTGGTCATACATTGGAACTGCCTCCGTAAAGCCTAAAGAAATGAAACCCTTCGTAATGGCATCAATGCCTCCTGCTGTTTGCCAAAGATTTTTATTTTTATCGTTCTGCCCTTTCCTGAAACGGCCCATTTTGACAAGAGCTAGCTAAAGCGCTTAATCCGAGAAGGACTTCGCTGCAGCAAACAGAATAGGTCAGTGACAGACCACTGTCTGTCTCATACCTTATATGGAAATGGGACAGTTGCACAATTGCACTGAAGGGGGTGCTGTTTTCTATATTATCCAAGGACTCACGATTTTTTTTTTTATATCTGTGATGTATGTTCACTTTTTGGGCGAAGTTTCAATCTCAGCATGTATTTTAACTTCTCTCTTATGTACTTCAGCGCAGCTCACAGTTTATAACAAATTCTGTAGCGTTCTGCGTACTTCTTAATCACTTTCTTAGTTGCATCTTTTCAGGCTTGCTACTGCCTCTGGTGGCATGTGGGTGGTAACACAACTAATCTTATTACATTGCTAAATCAGAATGACAACTTTATTTACTCTTAATTCTGGCATAACTGGTACTGTAAAAGATCAATTATCTTATAAAACACCTTTTTTTATTTAAGTTTCTTAAGGATGTAGAGCTGATTAAATGACAAACAATATTTTTATACATTATGAATAATAATAACAAAATATATCCCTCAATTATAGGAGGAACAGAAGACATAAGGAGATATTAAAAACAACATGATGAGCTATAATAAAAAATATAATTTGCAATGTATCAGTAAGAAATTACGGATACATTACCATAATGTATCGGTTCATTGTACGGTAGGGCTGGGTGATAATTCAATAACGATATATATCGATCGATAGACGTGTGGCGCAATAGAAAAAAAGAGTGTCGATAAAAGTTCGATAAAGAAACGCAGCTTTCCTTCCTTCTCATTGTAGCTTATCATATAGATTTATGCTAGTCACTACTTCCTCCCAACCAATAACAATCGCGGACCCAGGCACGCCGTCACAAAGAGCCGCCCTCTCAAACCACAACACAGAGCACATGAAGATGTCGCAGCAAGGAGAGGCGGAGGAAATTGTTCCAAAGAAGGGTTTTTGTAGTTCGCCAGTTTGGCAGTATTTCGGTCATGGCAAGTCGGACAAAAAACAAACCACAGTCATCTGTAAAATGTGTCGGGAACCAGTGAAAACCAAGTCTGATAACACAACCAACTTTTTTTTTTATCATCTCAGCCGCTCACACCCGCAAGAGTACGAGCTGTGTAGGCCCCGGGGCGGCTCTACTCCAAGGAATCTTCGGGAATTTCGGGGAAAAAAAAAAATAAAAAAAAAAAAGGGTGAGTTGATTTGGGTTTTTGTTCTTGTTGAGTGGAGTTTACATGGTAGCCTAGTCCTAAAATCTTTTAATTACCACAAGCTGGTGGTGTACTATTCCCACCCAAATAGGGTATTCTATTTATTTATTTGTTATATTTCTTTTGGTCACTTTAATTTATTCTTTGTCAGTATTTAATAACATAACTCAGGTCTCTTAAGTCAAATTTTTTTAATAATTATCTATCGATTGATAATTATTTTTTTTTTATCGATAAGCTTTTTTTCTATATCGCCCAGCCCTAATGTACGGATTTAATTGAGCAAAAGTCAATAACAAACACATTAATTAGGTGGACAGAAGAATAATAAACCAGGTTGTTACAACCATGGTTGTTTTCCAGATACAAGCATATACATCTGGGTCAATGACATATAAGGCCTTTGAGAGGCCCATTTTTAAAATACTTGAAATAATAATATATTTGGCTATTTTCTAAACATTTGGAGTGTAGTCTACACATGCATGTGTGTGAAAACTTCAAACAAAGATATTTTAGTGCTTTTAAACTCAAATGAATCTGGCAACGACCTTAAAGTTATTTGGGGCGACCGTAATTTATCTTAAAATTAATCGATTTCCTTTACATAAGTTATATTTTAAGAAGTATCATTAATTAATTGAACTGTTTAAGAAAGATATACTCATTTGTCCTTTCATTTATTGCAAATTTTGTTAAATAAATGTTTATCTATAATGGCAGTGTCAACTACATACAGCAATTACATTTTTTTTTTTACTCATATAATCCATAAAACTGATTTAAAATGTGTAGATATAGTATCCACTTATTCATGTTATACCAAAGAATTATATTTCAACCAAAATGGACAGACATTATTTTTTGAATTTACTACAGAATTGAATATGGTTGGTTACCCCACATGACAAGTGGTCGCCCCACATGATGAAAAACAGCAGGAAATTAAGACTATTCAATGATTTTGATAGTTAAAACACATTTAATGAAATTTTATGAAGAATCAGCATATGTGTGATTCTCACAAACATGGTCCAACTTGTAGCAAAATTTAAAAAACATTATATACACAAAAAAACACTCACTCTTTATAAAACAGATCCTAATTTCACTTTTCACTGTAAAATTATAATCTATATGCACATTTTCTAGGTAATTTTAAACATTTTATTCTAACTTTGACCAAATAAATTCATTACCGTAACACAATTTTCATGAAGAAATTTAAAACCACAGAACCATTTTTTTCACATTTTTTGGACACCAAGGACTTCAGCGTGCACAGAGAGACAGAAATAAGCAAAAATAGGCATTTTTTTTACAAAATGTTATATTTTAATTCAAAAAATCATTTCATCACCGTAACAGTGATACAAATTTCAAAGTAAATTTTGATTGTCATTTTTTATCAAATCATTACATTGAACAAACAATATAACCATAACATAAAAAGGGTCTGGCACATTTCATCAAGGGATGAATATAAAAGTAATTCACATAACTAATCTAAATGAATCCTCAAACAGTTAACATAGCGGTAATGAAAAAACACATGTCGGTAATGAAAAACAATGTTTCGGTAGTGAACCCTTCATAACTACATTAATATTTAACTACCCAAACAATAAAATACCCTAGTAAAACATATATTTTTAAAATGTTAAGTTTATTAAGTTGACACACAAACTGAACAGAAAAATAGTCCCATATTTTTCCCAGCCATTTCAGGCAATGAAACAGTTTACCCTGTTTTCAGCAGAGGAAAAGCAGCTGATGTCTTCATCAAATGGCCCAGTAATCTGAGCAACGAAATTGTGTGGGGAAAGGTAAGACTCAATTGATATCAAATCAAATTCAGAAAATGACCCTGAACTACTGATAAAGGAAGACATAAAAAGATGTGGTGATGGATTTTTTTTGTTCCTAGATGATTTGTGACCTTTTTTGTGACTCTTTTTTTCCTTCTAGGTCTGGCCTGATTTACCAGGCGTCATAGTTAATGAAAGTCTTGACTGCCACTTAGACACTTAGATTTAATATACATAGGCTACATAAAAAAACAAAATATTCATTAATTTTAATAATTCATTGGACTTTCTTTTTGTACTTGGCCCAGATTTCTGACACCACACAGAAGTGTCTTGCGGATGAAGAGGTAGGCAGTGGTTCAGGAATAATTTCTTTGATGTCATCCAAATAATACCATACCTTCTCGCCAGCAAACCTTATTGATGGTATGTAGAAGCGATTGTCTCCCGCACAGCTCATTGTATCAACCTCATACTGACCACTGGCAATCTGGATTAATGAAGCAAAAAAATGTTATCAACTGTGTTTTTCAAAGACAATTTGATTATTACATAATCATTACCCTGATATTACATGTTGACAATCTGAATCCAATACTTGCACACCTGACTTCCCATTCTCCACTCAGTCTTAAACCTACCTGTGTTACTGTGCCAGGATAGAGGTCTCCGTCATAGTCCACAAGGACCCATGTTCCTACTTTGATGGTCTCTTCAGATTCCCTTTGCGTGAAAACAAACTCCTTTGGAGAGAAGCAGTCACAAGAGTGACTACAGAAGCACGAAACTTCTCGAAATCTAATATTTCCTGGTTCAGTAGCAACAACCTGTGGAGACATTATGTTTAGTTTTATCTGCAAAACCATGAAAAGGTCAGATCTATAAAAAGAAATATTTTCTTTGAAATGCAAACTTACAACAAAAAATAGAGAAAAAATTGAAACCAAACTAAAAAAAAAAAAAAAACCCAAGCAAAATAAAAATGAGTGTGCATTTGTTTAGTTGCACATATGGGTGCTCACCTGGTGTATTTTCATAGTTCCTGGGACTGATTTCAGGAATGGAGGAACGAGTTCCCCACATGCAGCAATATTATCCTCTGTTACTTCAAAAAGCCTAACAGATGAGTGCTTTGCCAGATTCTCTAGTAGAGCAGAAGCATTTGGGATGTCTGTGCCATAGGCCACCACACGATCTGCAAGGTTTTTAAGAGCACCTCCTACTCCATCAGGAGCTCCCTTCCCATGAGAGGCCTCAGTGAAGTTCCACGTCACAGTCTTAAACCCTTTCATAAAAGGCACTGTGGACGCAAGGTAGAATGCTACCTTATTCCGATATTGAGATGTTGGTCCATCGGACAGGAAGTGGATATTTTTTGCCAGGGGGTAGTTAGATGTTATGTATCCTAAAACTGGTTGCAAATGTGCCCATGTAGCAACAGCATCGTGCTGTAAACTGGCAGACACAGTAGCAAAGGACTCAGCCTGACCACCAGTGTAGTATAACACCCCTGTATGGAGTGTGACTTGCTGGTGGGATCCACCAAAGTGAGCGTCTTTTATTTCCTTGCTCCATTTGCAGGTGTAGTTTTCACTGTAATCAACATGGACTACAACATCATGGTGGGTCAAATTTTCTTTCAATTGCTTAAGATGAGTGAACTGGTGCCAAATGTTATACAAATGAGTAGATATCCGGGGCAGTTCTGACTTGGTCAGCTCTACAAGTTTTTCAATAGTGGCCACTTTTTTCTCCAGGGTGGTGGTTTTCATGTCAATCTCAGTGGTAGTGCCATTTTGCAGTTTCTTTTTTATTGGTGTTGACCTTGTTGTCCACTCAGTCCAAGATATAATGTTGTTTTTTGTAGTTGGATCCATGTTGACAGGGAAAGTAATATCTTTGCAGGCTTCACATCTACCATACATGCAATCAATGTTTTCCGAATCACAGACAGATGAAGCCACTACATCAGTAATAGATACTGTATGTATCAATCCGAGATGGTGCATTTTTTTAATTTTATTTGAAAAATTCTCATGTATTTTGCAGGCACATGTTTCCCTATCAGTGATCTTTGGTCTCACTATCCAGAAGGGCCTCAGCTTAAAAAACTGGGAGCGGGACACATTGAGGCCTGGGTTCTCTTTAAGAAATCTCTTGTGGAGATTTTCCATGGTGTCTGAGAGGAACCTCTTCCTATAAATTTGTCCACCCTTCCTGACTTCCCCAAGTTTACCATTTATTAATGTGGACACATCGTCTCTGTTCAGGAACAGTCTGACATTGTCACTCATCCTTCTTCTTTGGTTTCTCTCACCCTGCTTCTTGCGGTTCTCTCTCCTCTGTTTGGCTCGACTTGCAAGAAGAACTGTGGACCTGTTTTCCTCCATTCGTTTAATTTTTTTTTTCAGGCAATCTAGTTCCTTTTTCTTGTTACTAAGAATTTGTTGTGCCTTCCTCAGTTTTTCTCTTAATTTGGCTGTTTTTTTTCCGCTTTGGAGTTGATGTTGCAGATGGATTAGAGTTCACAGTCTTTGGTTGGATTAATCTTTTACAAAGTTGTGGTTGAGGCTGAGGGTTGATTTGATTCACACTGTCATCTGAGGGAGGGGTTTCATTTAGTATGTGTTTAACTGTTTGCTTCTTTTTATTATATCGATTAGAATTTTCCCTCCATTTTTTTCGCTGTTTCTGCAGCTGCTTGGGTGTCAGATCTGCAGCTGCCTTTAACAACCCTTTTTCCTTGCGCTTCTGATACCTGTTAAAATAAGATATCAATAGGAACATTTGTGAGACAGCAAAGTTAGCAAAGTCTGTACTGTATTTGTACAGTGTGAGCGTGAAAAAACAGAATAGAAGGAGAGACGAGAAAGAGGGAAAAAGAGCGGGAAAGGGGAAGAGAGGGAGAAAGAGAGACACTACCTTTCCCTTTCCTTTCTTCTATACTCCTCTAGAAGGTCTGGATTGTTATAAATCTTCTGCCTATGTTTTTCCACCCTAGCTCTTGATGCCGCCCTCTTCTGTTCACTTCCTTTTGCCCTTCATATTAGGTGATATCAATTAGCATAAATTAGCTTAGAAATTTAGCCTAAAAAATTGAAAGTATAATAAACAACATTACAGTTTAAATAACCTATACATTTATCTATTTATTATTGCAAAATGACACTGTTCATCACCGTAATCTTGTTTCTCATTACCGCAACAGGCCTCAGATTACGCGGTAATGAAAGTTATGCATTACGGTAATGAATGACATCCACATGTGCTAGCTTAAAATTCTAGCATGTCGTGATGACTCAGTTAAACTTTTCTCACAAACAGTGTGAACTCTCTAACTTCTTCTGTACAAGAAATCATCTTATTAACAACTTTTTAAGAACATGAGGTATTCTACATTACGGTAATGATAACCTGTAGTGTAAAAATAGGCATATGGAAGGAGAAACTTAACAGTTGTCATGATCTAAAGATGTCAAACAATCTTACCTTGTAGCCATCTTTGTCTTCTCTTCTTTGTGGTGCATCATGGGTCAGAAAAACTTTATTTAAAAAAGTGCTGTGAATATTACAGGACTTTGAACACGGTGCAACGGTAATGAGAGTTGAACCTCCGGACACTCACTTTTATTACAATATTCTGAATTACTTAACAGGAAATTATTATATATTATCATATTTTATTAATTTATGTATATTTAAACAAATTCATAATATTTTTTTATAAACCTGCTTGATTATTCATAATAATAAATTGAGGCGAAATAATTTTTTTCCCCTTAGGACACATTACGGTAATGAATTTGTGACTTCAAAAACAGTTAAAAAACATTAAAAAATTTATTTTGGTAGCCAACAATGATCTGTCCCAAATATTAGAAATAATGATTGTCCAAATAAAAGTGGATTATTTTAATTTTTTTATGAGTATGACCCTAAAATTTTCTAAGACATTCAATAGGTTGGGTTCGTGAGAATCACCCATATCCATTTCATTTGATACATTTCATAACATTAACAGTTTCCTCACTATTTCATTTGACACATAACCATCATATTAATATTTTCTATACTAATGCATGAAACGCTTGGACATAACATTGCACAGCATTTTCCTTTTTCATTTCATTAATCACTTAAACATACATTTGCATTTTTTTACGATTTCATTTAACACTTGAACATAACAGCATTCTTCAGACACATTCTTTAACCCCAGCAATTTCTGAATGCTACCCAGTCTTGGCAGGTCAACTTTGAGAAGCGTGAAGTTGCTGGCTCGGGTTCTGAAATGACAGCCTGAACATCTTTGCTAAAGTAGAACGTAACATCCAGAGTGTTTGGCCATAAGAACAAGTTCTTGTCATCAGACTGTCGCATTCAGCTTATCTGGAGTTCCTCTTCCACAACCTTTAGGACCTGACCTACATATGGAAGCTCGTCGTAGGTTACTATCACAAACCTTCCACATAGATCTTGGACACTTTCTTCTTGCCTAGGTGGCTCAGGTGGAGAGCTTGAGGTGTCCTCAGGTTTCCCGGTTTGCTGTATGGTGGCTTTCAGGTCTACCATTTTTGGCTGGTAACAAGGGCATGGACTCATCTCTAAGCGCTTGCAGAAGCAAGATACTTCCCTGTGTGTTATCTTTGCAGGCTGTGATGACAAAACTTGGTGTATCTTCATGGTGCCTTTTAAAGCCTCCAAATTGCCAGGAATCAACTCGTCACATTTTTCAATGCTCTCACTTGTCACCCAATAGAGAGTGATACTTGAGCTTCTTTTTGTCAGCATCTCATAAAGAGCTTTTGGTGTCTGCAGCTCACCTCCTCTGTTAACATAGAGATCCGCTTCTCTCTTTATTGCCCCACCAATCCCATCTGGGGCCCCCTTTCCATGAGCTTTTTCAGAGTAATTCCAGGTCACATTTGTAAATCCTGAGAGGAAAGGCACAGTACTGAGCAAGTAAAAATTATTCTTATTTCGGTACTGTGTTACAGGCCCGTCACTCAGAATATGGAGGGTAGGGATTTGTGGGAAAGATTCCCAAAGCTCTTTCAAGATCGGCTCTAGATGTGCCCACACTGCCCGTTCATCATGGCGAAGGCAGTCAGACAGTGTTGCATAGGATTTGGTTCCATGGACAGTGTACAGGACTGCTGTGTGAATCGTGGCCTGTTGTCTACTGCCGCCAAAGTGAAAGGACTGGATCTCTGTGCTTAGCTTACATGCATAGTTTTCTGAAAAGTCTATGTGCAGCACAGCTTCACACTCTGTGATGTTTTGTTTGAGGAGGCGGAATTGCTCTGCCTGGTGGAGCCAGTTGAACTGGTGGACTGCCAAGGCTTCTAGATTTTGATGGAAAAGCTCAGTCAAGTCCTTTATGGTTCCAGTCGAGGTCTGTTTGATCATGTTGGAAAATGTTTTTTCTCCATTAGTGGATGTCACCCTCTTCCACTGCTCCCAGGTGACTTGTGTGCTGGTTTTTTCTTTCCTTTGGGTTTCAACTTCTCACTCAGCCGTACCCTTTCTTTAGCCCTCATCTCACTCTTTCTGGCTTTTTCCTTTTCCTTTATCATCTCTGCTAGTTTTTCTTCCAGTTTTCGGTTCTACTCACGTAGTTTACGATTCTGAGCCTGCAGCCTCTTTCTCTTTATTACTCGTTTCTCAGGTATTTTCTCTCTTTCTGTCTCTGGTGTAGAGGACATCGGTGGATTAAATTCCTCCACTAGAGGTAGGGGATTCACCACAATTTGCCCTGGATTCTCCTGCTGCTCATAAAGCCCTATACCAACTAAAACTGGTGGGGTGTTTTCTAAGGATGGCGGTGTCATTTCTAGCTTCGCCTTTTCTATCTTCTTCCTCTCCCTGTAACCTTTTGATGCAGCCTTCCTTCCTATAGCGAGCAGTCTTTTCTTCGCTTGTTAGTGGGGCCATCTAGAAAAAAAGTATATTTAAACATACAGAGTTAGAAAAGGAATTGGAAAAAGTAGGATGAATGCTTAATATTCACACATTTCTCTGATAAAAACATAATCAAAAAGAAGTAAGCTTAGTCCTCTCTGAAGTAGGATGGAAATTATAGAAAAAATGTGGTGAAATGTAGAAAGTTATTTAAAACAACTAAATGCATATAATGAATGAAAACATTTGCATACAGAAACTACAAATACATGATATGTGTTTTCTATCATTTAAGCAATCAGTGGCGGTCGCCCCACATGATGCTCGGTCGCCCCAGATGATGTTTTCAAGTTTAATCAAGTATAACAGGCTAATGCTTAGCTATAGAACCCAAGCTAGCATCTTCTCACCACATATCACTGACAAATTTACATTAAAAATAAAGATTTGCGTATAAAACGTATTATTTACAGTTTTAGGTTGGTCGCCCCACATGATATCAAAATGTGACGTATACAGTGCAGCAGTTTTAAAGAGGATTTGTTTGTAAAAATGAGAGTGACTACTCACCTGCTAGTTGCCTCTGTGGGACCTTCACCATGAGGCTGGCTGATGCAACATCCTCTTTGAGATGATTGTCAAAATAAAAGTCCCTTGATTGACATGTTTAGCCGCATGTCGTCATTCAACCGCTGGTTGTCTAGGTGGTGCC